AGATGCTCCTGTCACCTCGATTGCTCAGAAAATTCAAAGAGTTTTAGAAGCTCTGTGCCTGGAACCAGGGATAAAAACCAACTATTTTAACAAAAGATGCTCCTGTCACTCCTATCACTCAGGAAGTTACAAGAATTTTAGAATCTCTATACCAGAAACTGGGGCTGAAGACCAAATATGTATTTCTTATGATATCACAGTATCACAGTCCTTATCAGGCTGCCAGTGGAAAAGAGGTAGAAAGTTATCCAAAAGTCACATTTTCACGTAGGAGAGAAAAGGTTTTGCTAACACTTCACCCACAAGCTTCTTTATCAACAAAGTAACTCATCATTGAAACCTGTATGCTCTATTTATATTTTCAGTATACATTAGTTGGCCAAAACATAGGTATAAAAGTAAGGATAGCAACAAAAAGAGAAATCACTTCTGTACCAGAGAAGTTTAAATGGATATGCCTGGCAACCTACTGTAAACCAAAAATAAAATTATAAGCCTCCTCAACCATCTGAATGGACCCCTCTTCTTGGCCAAGGGCATTCCAAAGTTGACCTGAAAATTCCAGCCATAATGGGAAGTGGGTGTTGGACATGCCTCATTCTTCCCTCCTCCCTTTTGGAATTACTGATAAAACAGACTCTTTAAGTCTGATAAGAAACATTTACAATCTATTCTCTCTGAAGCCTGCTACCTGGAGGCCTCACCTACATGATAAAGCCTTGGTCTGCACAACCCCTTATCTTAACGCAGATATTTCTTTCTATTGATTCTAAGTCTTTAGACAGTAACTAAACTCTTTCAGAGAAAGAAAATAAATAATTCAACAATATTAGAAATGAAGTGAATGAATTCCTAATTTCAAGGGACCCATTGAGAACCCAGCATAGCAGGCAAAATAAAGATATACACCGAAGCACATTATTATAAAATTTCAGAACATTGGAGACAGAAAGAAGCTAATAGAGAGGAAAATAAAATCACTGGAAAGGGTAAAGAATCGGAATGACTTCTCAATAGCCACTCTGGTAGTAGAAGTCAATAAAGAAATGTTTTTTAAAACAAAAATGTTTTTAAGTTCCCTTTTATTTAGGTTGAAATAAGCTGTACAAAATTGATATTTCTGACCAAAAATAACAGCCATATTTTCTATCATATTTATAGATAAACCACAAAACATTTATTGTAGTCAGTTTTTCAGGTTTTGATTTTAATCTAGATAAGGAAGTAGACATAGTTATGAAAAAAGAAGAGACCAGACACATCAGCTGTCTGTAACCAGTGCTTCTGATTCTGTCTTGACCATGAAACTAAAGTGTTCCACATACACCTGATGAAAAGCTTATGACACAGGAAAACATCAGCTCGACAAAGGAATGCAAACAGCAACAAGCAGAAGGAGAACAATGATGCCAGGCTCTTCCATTCAAACTTGTTAATTTAGGGTCACTTGATAAAGATCAGACCTACAATGCCACCCTTGTTGGGTGAACTCACTGCTTCTCTCACTCTCTGGTAATTCCCATAACTGTGCGTTAAAGGGTTTTTTTGTTTTTGTTTTTGTTTTTGTTTTGTTTTGTTTTGTTTTTGAGACAGAGCCTCGCTCTGTCGCGAGGCTGGAGGGCAGTGGTGCGATCTTGGCTCACTGCAGACTCTGTCTCCCGGGTTCACGTGATTCTCCTGCCTCAGCCTCCTGAGTAGCTGGGACTACAGGCATGTGCCACCACGCCCAGCTAATCTTTGTATTTTTAGCAGAGACTGCGTTTCACCGTGTTGGCCAGGATGGTCTCAATCTCTTGACCTTGTGATCGACCTGCCTCGGTCTCCCAAAGTGCTGGGATTACAGGCGTGAGCCACCACGCCCGGCCATGTTAAAGGTTTTTAACAGTATACTGAAAAGTCCTAGTAGTGAAAGCTGTGTTGTAAGATTCACTGTGACATTTTATGAAACGTATTCATTCCTCTTATACCTACCCAAAATTTATTCCTTCAAAGTACTGATAACTAACGTAACTTCAAAGTACTGGATCCATAGTGATACTAAATGCTGTATCTGAAATGATTTTAAAACAATTCTACCAGCCTGGGCAACAGGGCAAAAACCCATGTCTACAAAATATACAAAAATTAGCCAGGAACGGTGGCACGTGCCTGTAGTCCCAGCTACTCAGGAGGTTGAGGAGGAAGAATCGCTTGAACCTGGGAGATTGAGGCTGCAGTGAGCCCTGACTGTGCCATCTCAAAAAAAAAAAAAAAAAAAAGGGATTCCAGAGTGCCAGCACCAGAGAGTATGCAGAAATGGAATTCCACGCTTTTACATCTTTCAAATTTTTCCTCCAAATATCAAGAGTTTGGGACCAGCCTGGCCAACATAGTGAAACTGCATCTCTACTAAAAATACAAAAAACTAGCTGGGCATGGTGGTGCATGCCTGTAATCCCAGCTTCTGGGGAGGCTGAGGCAGGAGAATCACTTGAACCCAGGAGGTGGAGGCTGCAGTGAGATTATGCCACTGCACTCCACACTGGGCAACAGAGACTCTGTCTCAAAACAAACAAACAAAAAATAAAATAAAATAAACATCCTTTGAGGTATTTTTAATGATTTCTGAATCACCTGTAGGTAGTTCTTACTTGCTGTATAGAGTTTGATATGTGCATCTACAGTTAAATCCAGATCATGTCTTATATCAAAATTTATGCTAAGTAAAACCAAGTTATTTAACCTGTCAAAGTTTTCCTCAGCTATAATTTGAGATGCTTTTGTTTATTTCATAGTGTTCACTCTCAATCTTCATTATAGGAAGAATACACAGGACTTTCAATAATGTATACACATTAGGGAGTTTTATTGATGTTAGGCACATAGAGGGCTTCAAACATGCGGATGGACGCTCTGCTTCTTTCCCTCTGTGTTTCCACTTGATTCTCCAGCAGTGAAACTGGCTGAGAGCATGTTCCGATTGGCTCAGTCACTTCAGTTAAAGTCAGCTTAGTGTGTCTCCGATGTGTCGAATTTGAGCTGTCCCATGACACAAGGTGCCAGAGATCAGCATTTGTGAGCTATGAGACGTTGTTCTGAGAATAAATCTTTGAGTTCCAGAGTAATGTGCTACACTGTTGGAACACACAGAGATTCCTTATAGTAACTCTCAGAGGTTCGTTGAGATTCTAGGTTACCTTGCTGAGCTCTGCAGAATTTCCCAGAGACTTTTATTTGAATATCAAGATCGGTTAACAAATTCATGCCTTCCTCAAATTCATGACAAGTTTTGTCATGAATACTTTTGTCACCAATACTTCATTAGTGATACGATACCACCATGAAGCTGCTGGCTGCAAAGAAAACGTCAGAGATTTTTCCCCTAGAGATTTTTTTCCCAAAGCCTCTTGTAAGATAAGATATTTTAAAGAACAATTATAAAAATAAAATCAAGGCTGGGAGTGATGGCTCTCACCTGAATCCCAGCACTTTGGGAGGCCAACGTGGGAGGATCACTTGAGCCCAGGGGTTTGAGAGCAGCCTGGCCAATTATAGTGAGACCCTGTCTCTATTAATAATAAAAAAAAAAAAAAACCTTAAAATACATGAATGCAGTGCAGAGTACGAATGCTCAGCCAGCTGTACAGTTATGTCATCTGAGACTTGTGTCACCATTTATGTCTCTAAATATAAAACAAATGTTGGCAGGAGATCCAGTAACATTTCAAAAGCATCATGCCTATCTGTCCATTGAGAATAACAAATTACCTTCAGTTCATTATTCCTTTCTTTGTTGTTCTGAGAAAGGACCGAAATTACATAGTCAAGTTCTAAAAGCAGTTGTGGTGAAGGATGAATAACAAACTTCCTCAATCCTTCATAATACAACAGATATCCCCATAATAGGCACTGATTTTGCCAACCACATATTTAATTTTTAATTTTTTAATTTTAATTTTTTTTATTTTTTGAGACAGAGTCTCCATCTGTTGCCCAGGCTAGAGTGCAGTGGCACAATCTTGGTTTACTGCAACCTCCACCTCCCGAGTTCAAGCAATTCTCCTGTCTCAGCCTCCCCGGTAGCTGGGATTACAAGTGCTTGCCACCACACCCAGCTAATTTTTGTGTTTTCACACCCAGTGGGGTTTCACCGTGTTCACCAGGCTGGTCTCGAACTTCTGACCTCAAGTGATCCTCCCACCTTGGCCTCCCAAAGTGTGGGATTACAGGCATAAGCCACCATGTCTGGCCTGCCAACCACATATTCAAGACACGAGAAGAGCAGAATGTGTAGATAATTTGGGGATATTTCAGTTAAAGTCTTGAAGCAGCAACCTCCATTTCTGAAGAAAATCTATTGGCCATAGCGTACACCTGGCCACAACAGTACTCCACATTTAGCCCCACTTCTGGATTTTTGTAGTGTGAGATCACACAACCAAAATGGCTGCATCAGCTTCACGAGGAAGAAGCTCACATATTTCTCTGTCAGGTAAGAGACTCATCAATAAACCTCACCGTCCCGAGCTGGTGTTCTTTCTCTGCTACATCCACCACAGCATCAGTGATCACAGAAAAGAAGTATGACTCCCTTACTTCCTGGGGCTTTCTTCCCAAAGGCAACTCTCACAGATCTCTAGCAGCTGTTCCTGATGTTTTCCAACAGAACAGCTGGAAAGACGCTGTTGCCTCAAAGGGCTTTCCCAGGACCTCGTCACCAGAATTTATCTGGTACCTTAGCAATGTTTGAAAGATATCAGGAGTAAAGAGACCTTCCCAGATTTAATCAGACTCATGTCCATCCAGAGGTAGGTTTTGTTTTCTCAAAAGAATAAACATTTAAATAAAGATTTTGCGTATTATTTGTTTTTCTTCTCTTCAAGGGTTAAAAGTAAAATGTTTTCACCTTGTTCCTCACTCTCTTTTACTGCATTGAGCTTCTGAGTCTTGCTGTCATGGGTTTATGTTTTTGTTCCTGTTCAGAAGTTTTATCAATATTTTTTGTTTTAATTTTGTTTCAGTGTCCTGATTTCATCTTCATTTAATTCTTTTTGATTGACTACTACACTGGAGTGTTTGTTTATTCATCTGAGCAAGATATTAAAAGTTCCTTTAAATAGATGACATTTAAAAGGCATAAATTGGCTTCTCTGACCACCTCACCCTTCAGCTGTCAGCGTATCCTCCTCATTCTTCTTGGATGCAGGACAAGAGTTCAGGTACGAGCTATAATACAGGTGGGCTGTCTGCTGGGGTGTGCCTGGTCCAGCCTCCTTGGGCTGAGCCGGTATGCAAGCCAGACTCAGCTGGGGTGGGCCAAGTGGGTGGGGTGCCTCCTGCAGCGGGTAGCACGGCCAAGGGAGGTCCAGGCTGGGGAGTGGTACGTCGCTGGCTGGAGATCCTGGCTGCCAAAGTGACCAAGAAAAAAGTATTGTGTCAATATCATCTGGAGGTAAGAAAATATTACACATTCACAGACACATAAAAGTATATCCAAACCCAGATAGAGAGCTTACAGTTTTAATTTTAAAATTTTAGCCAATGCTATATTTCATCCAAGCAGAAATACAAAAATCTCTGAAGCAGTTCTCCCCCAATTAAGTACAAATTCTTAATAGATTTAATTCAAAAAATACAAAATAGACCAACAGGAAGAAAGGAACAAACTGCTGTTTTTCACCTTCAGAGACAAGATTTCTATAAGCCATTTAATTAGTTTATAAAGACCACCAAAATATAAAAATAAAAAATAAAAAGCATAACTTGTTTTTGAAAAAATGCATAAATATTTTCAATTGAATTATTTGACTCCAACTTTCTTTTCTGAGATTTTTAGCCTTCTTTGTGTGCTCTTAGAGTTTTAGTCAGTCTCTGTTCTAGTTATCTACTGCTGCAAAACAAACCACACCTCTATACCTAGCAACATGAAAACAACAATTTTATTATCCTGGTGGAATTCAGATAGAGCATGGTGCGGATGTTTTGTCTCTGCTCCATGATGTCCGGGGCCTCAGCTGGGACGACTCAAATGCTGAGGGGTGACTTGAAAGGCTGGAAATGGAACCATCTGGAGGCTTCTTCACTCACAGATCCAGTGCCTAGGCTGGAATGACACGAAGGCTGGGCTTAGTTGTGGCTGCTGACCACAGAACTTACATATGGCCTCTCTCTATGGCTTGAGATTCCTGCAGAATGGTGGAAGCTCCCTCCCCAAGAGGGAGCTTCCCAAGAGTGAAGGTTCCCAGAGATCCAGGCAAAAGCTGCATGGCCTTCTATAGCCTAGTCTCAGAAGTCACAAAGCATCTCTTCTTTCATATTCTGTTGCAGGGATCAGCAAACTATGGCCCAATGCCAAATCCATCTGCGATGTCTTCTTTCAAAATAAAGTTTTGGCTGGGTGCGATGGCTCACGCCTGTAATCCCAGCACTTTGGGAGGCTGAGGCAGGCAGATCACAAGGTCAGGAGTTCAAGACCAGCCTGGCCAACATGGTGAAACCCTGTCTCTACCAAAAATACAAAAATTAGCTGGGCATGGTGGCTTGTACCTGTGATCCCAGCTACTCAGGAGGCTGAGGCAGGAGAATCACTTGAACGTGGGAGGCAGAGGTTGCAATGAGCCGGGATTATACCACTGCACTTTAGCCTGGGCAACACAGTGAGACTCTATCTCAAAAACAAAAAATAACAATAAAATTTTAAAATGAAGTTTTATGGGAACATAGTCATGTTTAATCATTTATGTACTTTCACACTACAGTTCACACTACAATGGCAGAGAGTGTTAGTTGCAATAGAGATCGTATAGTTTGCAGTCTAAAATGTTTGCTGTCTTGCTCTTTACAGATATAGTTTGCAGATCCCTGCTCTATTGGTTAAAGCAATCTCAAGCCTGCTCAGTGCCAAGGGACAGGAATAGACCTCACCCTTGGTGGGAGGTGTGTCAAAAAAGGTGCAGTCATTTAAAAAAAAAAAAAAAAAAATCACCACAATTCCTGTTTGCCTCATATTTTTATTCTCATTTGGTTTTTTAATTTTGTAAGCTGCTTATAAGAGCTCTTCTAACTATTTGAATGTATGCTAAAGTCATTTCGGTTAAGAGAAAGTTTAAAAATGGAAGTCAGTGATGTTATTTCAAGTTACAGTCTTTTGAAACTTCCCAATGTCAGCTCCTTTAGGTAAATATTTGGGTAATAATTCTTCCAAAGAAAGGTTAGGAAGGTTAATTTTTGTTCAGAGTTAAAGGACAAAGAAGACCTTTATTTTAGTTCCTTAAAAAAAAAAAAAAAAGTTACTTTAAAAAAAAAAAAAGAAAGAAAAAAAGGGCTGAGCATGGTGGCTCACGCTTGTAATCCCAGCACTTTGGGAGGCCGAGGTGGGCAGATCACAAGGTCAGGAGTTTGAGACCAGCCTGACCAACATGGTGAAACCCCGTCTCTACTAAAAATAGAAAATTAGCTGGTCATGGTGGCACGTTCCTGTAATCCCAGCTACTCGGGAGACTGAGGCAGGAGAATCACTTAAACCCGGGAGGTGGAGGTTGCAGTGAGCTGAGATTGAGCCACTGCACTTCAGCCTGGGTGACAGAGCGAGACTCCATCTCAAAACAAAACAAAACAAAGGTAAATGGTAAACACTTGTTGAAACAGTTAAGTCTCTCACTTGGTCAACAAGTTTCAGGTTATATAAATCATTCCCTATTGATGAATATTTTTATTTAAACATGCTATATTGGTACTATTTTAATTAAACTGTACAGTGAAGGAGTTGAGTAGGCAGTGGTTTTTAACCCTGGTTACGTATTTAAATCATGGGAGCCAAGACCCCTATCCTAGATAATCAAATAGGACCTCTGGAGATGGGGCCACCACAGATTTTAAAACCTCCTCAAATGATTTTAATATTCAGCCAGGGCAGAGAAATATGTGGCTAGGTGACTGTAGGCTCTTTCCAGAGGGTAAATTCTGTGAATATAAGGGGGATGTGAAAATGGGAAGTTTTCCCAGTATATTTGCTGCTTATACTACTAAGAAAATTATTTGGAATGACTGTTTGTATGTTTTTACCATGTATGATTAATATGGTAACCAACATGACTTCAACATCTCATGGTCATTTGAACTACCTGAGTTAGCCAGAACCTAAGTCAAATGTTTCGATTTTCACATATCTTTTGACCTACAAATTATTTCTGTCATTCTATACTACACGTTTACTCTGAAATAGACCTTGTATTTCGTTTGTTTGTTTGTTAATGAACGTGCTACTATGGCATCATTTTCAGTATGACATTGGCATGTGTCTGTAAATATGTATTAAGATTGTGTTTCTCAGACAAGTGTGCCCATGCATCACTTAGGGAATCTCGTTAAAATTGAAATTCTTATTCAATAGGTCTAGGGTGAGAATCTGGTCTGAGAATCTGGTCTAAGAATCTGGATTGTTTTTTCTCCCTTATCGTTATCTACAAAGGATCTGCATTTCTAACAAGCTCCTGAATTATGTTTATGCTATCTGTCTACCATCCATGCGCTACAGCTTACGCAGCAAGGCATTAACAGATCCATCTAGACTGATTTCACTTAGAACTGCAAGTTAGCCTCAGTATTAATTGAGGAAAAGAATAGGGTCCCAGGAAAAAGAAGGGGTGCTAGAGTCATTAAAAACTTTTATGCTTTGCATAATGGCACCTCTTTTTTTATTTTTTAAAAGAAATAACCCATTGAGAAAACTATAGAACTTTGTCACTGGTTCTTTCCATAGGTTTCATCAATTATTTTCTTCGGCCGTGTGACACCTGTCATCTACAGTATAAGCTCATGCACTGGATATTTCTAAAGGCAGATTTAGCAGCTGAGAGCCCATTTCATTAGAGACACATCTCATTAGGATGGTACAGTGGCACAATGCACTGGGCTGGATGTCAGAAGACCTGAGTTCTTGTCTTTATTGCTTTTTGAGTGTGTGACCTTGGGCAGGTCACTTAATCTCATTGAGCCTCAGTCTTGTCCTTAAAGCTAGGCCAATAATCCCTGTCTACCATACAGGGTATTAAGAAGAGCAAATGAGAGGGCTGTGAAAGTACTTTGTAAATTACAAAGTGACTTAGATGTGTAAGTTATTATTGTCCATGTGGTACTGACTGTAGGCCTACATGTAAAAACACATTGGCTTTTGATGCTGTTAACCCTCAACTTTCTTTATCAGTAGAAGGAGCATTAGCAAGAATTAGATGATGAATGAGCCACACGGAGTCTTTCTCTGTCTGGGTTCAAAGAATGGAAGAATCAAAGAATGAAAAGATGGAGTCTTAAGAGTCAGAGAAAGGCAGGGCTTGGTGGCTCATGCCTGTAATCCCAGCACTTTGAAGGAGGCTGAGGCGGGCAGATCATCTGAGGTCAGGAGTTCGAGACCAGCCTGGCCAACATGGCGAAACCCTGTCCCTACTAAAAATGCAAAAAAATGAAAAAAATGGTAGTATGAACCTATAGTCCCAGCTACTCAGGAGGCTGAGGCATAAGAATCGCTTAAACCCAGGAGGTGGAAGTTTCAGTGAACCGAGATTGCACCACTGCACTCCAGCCTGGGTGACAGAGCAAGACTGTCTCAAAAAAAAAAAAAAAAAAAAAAAAAAAGAATCCTAGGGAGAAATGGTCAATTCACATTTCCTTATTCATGTGTTTTATATACTTGACCTTGTTTCCTTTCCAATTCCTTGTCTGGCATTGGAAAACACCAGTGATGTTGATGGGAAGGTCTATGCAACTGCTTGTGAATAAAAGCCAGTTTTGAATTAAAAAAATAGAAGAAAAAACCAGGTTTCTCTGATCCTTTCACATAACTCAGTGTAGAGGAGTAGTTAATACCATGTCTTTTAACTTTCCTTGTGGTATGGCCAAACAATACTCCTTTTTTTTTTTTTTTTCTGAGACGCGGGTCTCCCTTCATGTCACCCAGGCTGGAGATGCAGTGGTGCGATCTGGCTCACTGCAAGCTCCACCTCCCCGGATTTCACGCCATTTCCTGCCCTCACCTCCCCCGTGTAGCTGGCGACTACAGGTGCCCGACCCACCACGCCGGCTAATGTTTTTGTATTTTGAGTAGAAACGGGAATTTCACCGTGTTAGCCAGGATGGGGTCTCGACTCCCCTGACCACAATGATCTGCCCACCCTCAAAGCCTCCCAAATGCTGGGATTACAAGGCATGAAGCCAACTTGT